ATTGAATTTGAATCGCTGGAGATTGATCTATTTGGAAAAACGTTCCCAGGAAGTTCATTCCACACACTAAAATGAAGTTCGAAGTGTATTGAGTTGTACCTCGAAACGATGAGTAGCTACAGTCCGTGTTGGGAATCACACGTTAAAAGGTAAGACCTCGTTAATCCTTAGCTCGCACAAGTTTTGACTTCTGAGGGTTGTTGTTCGTAGGAGTGCGACAGCTGGTTAACGGAAAAACAGATATTTTTTTTAAAACAGTCCGTCGCGTATTTCTCATATTTACCAATCTTGGTGGAATCAAATGTGCCAAGTCACTTGAACACTACCTGTGGAAATATCTGTAAAAGAGAGGAAAATTTCCAACGTCTGATACAGACTATCAAGGTTACAAGTGATGTTTGTGTCTCCAATCAGGCAGATGGCTCTTTTCTAGATAAAATCCAGCAGCTTCAGGGTATGTTAATGGGCGGAGCTTCATACATGAGAACAATACTCCAAAGAAGGTCTGATCAGAGCTTTATAAAGCATCTACAGTTGCTGAGTGTGTACAGTTTTCCAGTTTGGAACAGGGTTTCAAAATTTCGAGAAGTAGCCTTTGCAATTTCAGCAACATGATTATGCCAAGACATATTGGTGTCCATTGCAATCCCCAACAAACTCATCGAAGCAGAAAGCGGAATCGTCTGTCGACTCACCTTTTTGTCATGAAATATATTCGGCGAAATCATTCAATGCAAAGTATTTTGTTGAACAGTGACATTTTTGTACAATTTTTCCAATTTGCCTTTCATCTTCGGTTCAATTCAACAACTTTATTTGATTTCAAAGTGAAACTGAAAATCTATAAATGGCCGGAGTATTATATTTGTTTTTTTTGTGAATCAAAATATGGTCCGGAACAATTATATCGTTTTCAAATACAAGTTTTGTAATAAACACACAATTTAATTGCAGAAAAATATCTCAGTTCGAGGTTATGAAGACAGAAATAAAAATATCGACCACAAGAAGCTTGCGTGCTCTACATTCTCCCTGCGGTGACTTTGTGAAACCTTTCATCCACGAGTAATTCCATCCATTAGCAAATCTCGGACAATATGGTGACATCAACGACCACGAACGTAACAAAATGAGGCCAGAAATAAAATAATCATCTGTGGGACAATACACTCATAGTCTAGTTCACAAATGCAATTTTATCGGAAACCTATCACTCCAAGACCGAAAATTATAATTGAGGTGTCACTCAATTTGGAAATACATCTAAAAACTTCTCAAGAGTGGCTGACAAAAAATTTTAAAATTTTCAAACAACTAAGTGAAAAAAAAATTGTTTGATTTTCTGGAAATATCTCGAAAACTATTTGAGATATGTGAAATTATTTATTATTTTGATTTCGAAATGGAAAGTGGGCTTGGCCTTTGCTTGTTTGAACATAAATATTAAATTTGAACAAATTTGAATATTGAGGAGAAAAATCAGTACAAACAATAACTTGCCAAAAAATAATCTTTCGACGATTTTTCAATTGATTCATGCTTTTGTCATTCAGTCAATTTTTGTTAATCGCTGATTGTCAAAATGAAAATCTGAGAATTTGTTCACTTTTGGGCTTCAGGAAAGATCCCTAACTTGCTGATTGAGAAATTCACAGAATTCAAAATGTGAATTAAGCAATTGTCCAATTATTTTCTCACTGTATTTATAGCTTTCGTCACTTTCCAACATCTGTAGCTATCAAAAAATATTTTTAGTGATCTAATATTCAATCTAATGCATTTGTTATTTGAATTTTTGTTTGTTCTCGAATATCAATATTCATAACTTTTTTAGGAACTTTTTTAGGAAGTCTAAAGTTCTCTATGATTTTTTCTCAAATTCTGGATCTCTAAATTAGTTTTGGAGATGGAAGTTGAAACTGAAAGCTTTGGCGTCAAACTCGGCGTCAAGTTATTCCAAATCAAGCACTTCTTGCCGAAGCCAACCAAGTTGGCGTCATCATGATATGAACTATAATGTTTGGCTCATTTCAAGTTAGCAGCATCATCAAGAGATATACCTCTTTGAGGATTACAACTTGTTATGTGAAATGCACGTTTGGAAGACTATTGCAGTTCTGTTGCATGAGAGCAGTGTCTATTCTTATTTTCGCCGGCCTTTCTTCAAAGTTGCACGAAATTTTTAGGTGTCATTCCGAATGGAATGGATAATTGTCAAAAAAATGTCACCTGAGAACCAGACTATCACGGCTACCTGAGGTTTATCTGGTCATTATTGCGTTATGCAAAAGGAAGGTAATGTGGCTACATGAACATTTCTGCAGCAACGTATGTAGAGCGGAACAACCATATTATTTTCATAACAGTACATGTACTGTTCATTTCAACGGCAGGTTCCGAACAAGAATTTGTTATTTGGTACTTTGTATTCGCGCGTGAGGAGAATAAGAGGATGTGACACAGATTTTAGGCTTGTAGAAGATACTGAAGTCGTAAAAATGAGTCGAATCGGAAATGTCCTTGACTCGGATTGATGGTAAAATCTGCCTTGGTGGCTTACTTTTCAATTTGGTGACCCAACTTTTCAAAGTGCATATAATGTATCAGTTACAAGATGAAAGAAGACAGAAAGGGTGAAAAAAATTGTATGGAATCATGAAAAAATAGACTCCACTTGAAGATCATCAAACGGCATTGGGGGTTGATTTTTAGAGGAAATAAAAAAATTTTTCATGATTTTTGATGAAATTATGTATTTTAACTACTTTCACACGGAAGTTATAAAAAATGGAATCAACTGAAACTTTTGAATACGCAATTTTTTGAAATTGCTTAAAATATTTAGGGAAAAATGTAAGAAATACACTTTCTTATTTTTGATTTTTGTCTCCTACAAAAATGATTCCATTCACTTTAGATTTGATAGAAATTTATCTTTCAATGAGCTATACTCATTCTGAATCAAAATTTGTTTTTTTTCAAGTCCTCATTTTCAATAAAAAAATAGAAACTTTCAAAATGTGATTCCTTTGATATATAAAACATTTCATTTTTTGTAATAACGTCAGATTTGAGATGGTGAAAAAGATGACCGCAGTAGAGTAGTCATTGTCATTTTGAATTTCAATAAATGCAATGGTATTTCTCAGTTTCGGAATACTCTTCAGAATTCTGTGGCTTCTTCTGAAATTCAGAATTCCAGAAGTACCCAATGGTTGACACAATAGTGGAGAGTTTCAACTTTTCTGATCTCATTTCTCAATATATTATTTTTTTCAATAATAACTTATGGTGAAACAACGAGAAGGGTTTTGAGTAATGAGAGTGTGGGGAAACATAATGTATGTCTCTGCTTTTTCACCAAAGTTTGTGAATTGGGAAATTCCAAAGACTGACACTTATCTCCATGACAAGTGATTAATTTCCATTATTCATCTCAATGATTTCAGTTTGATTACATCATATTCTTTGAGAGACATTTTTTTGTGAAGGACCCAAAAAAAATTGTGGGAAGTATCATTATCATACATACCTATTCACTAATGATCTCTCGATTCAAAACAAGTTAGGTCTCAAAATGAAGGAAGCTGGTGAAATTTCAGTATTTGCACATACTTTTCTGAACCAATCATTGTCGTATCCAGTTCCAATGATTGACACTAGCTGAAAAATCACTATTACGGAATGATGAAACCATTTACTTCATAAATCACAGAAAAACCATCTTTGGCATTTTTTCAACAATCAACGAACGAAAAGATACAAAATAATGAGGCCTTCTCATCACTCGTCAACGTTGAATTTCCCGTTGAACTTGAGCTTATCACCAGATATTGTAACTTTTGGAAAATCAAACTACTCTCACTAAGATTCATCACACTAATGTCAGTGACATTAAGTTCGAAAGTTTTCATCGTCATTCCTACTCACAACTTTGGCTTTCTGAAACGTTTTGGATCAGGCTTTTTCCCAGGAAATTCAGCCAATACATAAATTTACTTTGTATTTGGGCTCATTTTGAAATCAGCCCTTTCAACTTTTCCTCTATCACTGAAAATGACGAGTTTTGGTCAAGATTAGACATATCGAATACATTTAATTACCAACAATAATACAGTCCACTTTATGCTTCCAATTTCCAACTACGAACTGCTTTATACAGTACTTGTCCCGAATAGAGGGAATTGGATCCTCTGTGAGAAGGAAATATCAAGAGCAGTTAGTTGTTGGTTCACAGATAGATCGAAAACACCTTCAGGTTCTGGTGCAGGTGTTCTCAGTCGCAGACCCACAGCAGATATATCTACCTGCCTAGGAGAGAATGGAAGAATCCAACCCCATACACAAGTCAATAAAATATTCTCCGACAGTTAATCGGCATTGAAAGCTCTAGGCTACCGAGCAACGTCTACATTGGTGTAAAATTGCCAAAAACGACCCTCTTCGATGAGAAGACTCAACAGATTGTCTCTGGGCTGGATTCTTGGCCATACTGGTCTGGAAGACAATGAGCTTGCTTGATGATACAAGCAGTTTCATCAGACCAGAACCTGTCATTGGCATCGCTTTAGGCTTTGCCAAACAAAGATTGAACACCAGGATGACAAAAAAATGTATGGATTTCTGTCAGAATCCTTCAGAATTGACTCTCTCCAAGGCATGCGTTTATTCTTCCTTTGAAGCTTGATACCAAACAGTTGTTGGACTACAGTAGGGATGAACTACAATGGCTAACATTCTCATGAAATACAAGACTAATGAAGCATGGAATTCGAATGGTTGCCATATAGACAGAACCACTGTGTTTTACTTTCAATTCATGGTTTCCTCTTCGAAGAAGTGGGACATTTGTGTGAAGTTTCTCATTTTTTTAGCTTTTTGTTGGAAGTGTTGATCTTTGAAGCAGCTTTACAGCTCGTTCGTTGAGTAATGTACTATAATTGACGAATTGGTATTTCTCTTATATTTTGACTCAAAAATTATTGAAATTTTCTACTCACTTTTCCCGTAGTCTGGATCTGCAGGAACGTCGCTATGCCTGCCCGCACCCTGTTTTTCACCCCCCGCACAGTCCCCTTAGCACTCTTTATTGTGGCAGCACCGTCACCAAGAATGTCCCTATAGCCTGCGAAAGTTTCTTTTTCCACCACCGAATCGACGTTAGACACAACACTATCGTTCACGTGTTCATTTATATGAAAGTTGTAAAACATATCTGGGTCTATAATGGCGTCTTCTTGTTTTTCTTCTGTCTCTTTCTTCCTGTCTTCATATGATTTTTCGTCTACTTTAGGAGGTGAAGTGGATTTTGGGGTACGTTGGCGAATGTCTTGGAGGAGGGTGGGGGGAAGGAGGGAGGATTTCGTGGCTACGATTGGGGTGGTGAGGGGGGATACTTTGCCGCTGTTCAGGGAATCACAGCTGATGTTGCTTTCGTTGTCGTCACTGTCGATCTCTGCGCCGCTACTGGAACTAGGGGCTCGTTTGTGTGATCCTGGAAAAGAAATTGAAACTGATGAAAATATGCGATTATTATAAATTAATTTCTTCGAAATGATCAAATTTATATGAAAACAATAGCTTTCAAGGCCGGTATCACAATTAGAGAGAATAAAATCCAGAGTGGAAGGCCGTGTAGCATATATAAACGATTGACGGACGTTGCTGATACTTTGAGATATAACCTTCGTCTTCGCACATACCACTGATAATGTCTGCCTCAGTAACAGACGAAACGTTTGATACGCAAGTTTCATTCGAACACGACCTACCAGCCCTGATACTGGTCTCCCCAATTAATCATAAGTATATTGAGAAAAATAGATATGAAAAGTACAGAATCACTGTTTAGCAAGATATTCTTCAGGATACTCAGTACAATTTTTGGAAGATACTTCAGGTTATATAATTAAATTTTACCTTCACTTGGAGAACAAATTTGGAAGAACAATATATCAATTTTTTAAAACATAATATATACTTTATGCAATTCAGATTTGAAAATCGAAAGTTTATGAGATCGGGGCACTATCTATATTTATTTACTTATTTATATATTCGGGATACAAACAGAAAAATCCACTACAGTGTCCACATAATTGATTCAATATTAAATTAAAAGTAACCTATAATACACATGTATATATTGTTTAAAATGAAGAATGAATTAGAATTGAATACAATGACAATAAAAACAGTTATTGTTATTTACTGAGTTTATTATTGAATTATACTTTATAGAAATAAGTTTTCGAAATTTTTTTGGCCGTAAGCAACGATATATTGGAAATATCGAAGTATTTTGCAAGAATATTATCCCATTTAACGCATCGATATAGAGAAGATTTCTGCAAACAGTTTGTTCTCTTAAAGAGTAAAATGAATAATTAATGTGCTCTTATTCTTCTATTCGGAACATTTGAGAAAATTATTGATAATAACGATGGACAATTCATTTCGTTTGTTATTATTTTTTGTAGAAATAAAATATCGGATATGTTAGGCTTATGTTCCAACGATACAAATGGAAGGTCTCGTCTAATTCGGAAAATATCATCGTTTTCAATGATTTTATTACCTTGTTTAAAAGCAACGAGTTCAAAAAATCGATTCTGAATACGTTTTCATCGATGGATGAATATATTATATTTTGAACTCCAAATGGTTGATGCAAACATTAAGTTACTTGAAACAAATGGATTATAGGGTTATGTTAGGTTAGGTCCAACGTGAGTGGGTCTATTCGACCATCCACCGCAACCCGCAAGAGTTTATTGTGGCTCACGCCTATTCACACTCGACCAAATAAACTTAGCTTCTTAACGTAGCAATTATTATTTTATATGGTGCTCTGCCGAACTCTAAAAACCTGATTGGTCCCTAGCGGGGCAGGCACAAAGTATGTGCTCTGCTGTTTCATCATTTCCCAAACAGAGGCGACACACAGTGTCTTCCAACAGTCCGAGTCTCTGCATATGACGATACAACAACTATTTTTATAATATTCAATACTATTTGGTATCATGCTTTGAAGAGTGAATGAAAGCCTTGGAGTGAGCCAATCCTGGAATATTCTGCCAGAAGTCCATGAATCTTCCTGCTATCCAGGTGTTCAATTTTTGTTTCGCAAAGCCTAAAGCGATGCCAATGACAGGTTCAGGTTCGATGAAGCTGCTTGCAATATAGGGGGATACTATTGATTTTGTTTGATTGAAGAAATAACATTTTCTCATGACATATTTTAGAGCTCTAGTACTCTTATTGATTACATAATCTATATGTTCATCGAAATGAACTCTGGATATCTTCAAACATATCCACAAATCCAAATAAAAATCTTGAAGTCTAAATAAAACTCCTGAAATCTCGGTGGAAATTCAAAAAGCATAGAAATCTCAATAGAAATTCTTAATGAAATCCAGAAATCTGGAGAGAGTTCCACGAATATTAGTGGATGTTCAGCTGACTTCCAACCAGTGAGAAGTTAGCAGCCATTTTTCAGCTGCCGTTTTGATCTACCTACCAAAACATCAGTGGCGTCGGAAGTGAATGTGAATTTTTTTTCTTCAGAATTCATAATATACAATGTAAGATGAAATTGTACCACAACTGCCAGTTTGCTCAAATCAACAATAAAGTGTCAAGAGACTTAATTTCATAAGATTTGGTTTATATCCTAGAAAACATTAAGGCAAGATCATGTTCCATACTCACAGTTCGGATGACCAAAGAACTATATACCAAGGGGTAGTTTATATTCGAACGAAATTTTCAGATACTCCTTTTGTCTTGAAGCTTGCAAGGAACAAATTGCTACTCACACGAAGAAACAAATTGATAACAATTCCCAAAGGAAAGAAATCAAGTTATTCAAGAGATTGAAGGGAGAATATGTTTTCTCTCTGAAAGCAGACAAAGGCAATGAGGTTGTGATCATGGATAAGTCTGATTATTATGATAAAATAGATAATTTAATTGAGAATGGTCCTTGTAGGAAAATATCAAAATATCCATTGCCTGAAATGGTTTCAGAAGTGAAAACCTCACTCAAGAAATGCAAAACATTGATCAGACCGGCTTTAGGCAGTGGTTTGCAAGAATCCAATCCCACAGTGTCCAAAATATCTACAACCAAGTATCTGCCAAGTATCTACAACCCAGGCAAGTCGGTGCGACCAATTGTATCAGCCATAGATTCCCCTACGAATAATATTGCCAAATGGTTAGAGAAACAATTTGACACCCTATCGATTCCGCTACCCAGCTTAAGTGTTAAGAACTTGCAAGAATTCATCGAGACGATAAAAGATGTGAGGTTGCGAGGAGAAGAGATTTCAGTATCCTTTGACGTATCTTTGTTATTTCCAAGTGTAGACATACCAAAAACAACTGAATATTCGAATGATCTTTTAGATGTTAATGACATGAATGGTGAAGTAGTCGAAGGGTACATCCGGCTTACCAAATTTGCATGGAACAAAATTGCTCCCAGTTCGCCAATTGTTTTTATGAGCAACATTAGGGCACATGGGAAACCTGTTATCTCCTTTCATGGCTAATCTGTTCATGAGCAGATTTGAAAGGGAAGCAAGGGAAGAGTTGGATTACTTTCCACGAATCTGGATCCGATACGTAGATGATGTAGTTTCCATTTTTTGTATGAATATGAGTAAGGTGAAGGATTTTGTAGTTTGCCTCAACAACAAATTTGCAAGTATAAAATTCACGTATGGAATTGAAGATAACGAAGAACTACCATTCTTATATATAGAAAGAATAAAAGCGCTTTCAGGTTCAAACCAATATTCTTGGAAAATAATTCAACTATCCCTCTTTTTGGAATTCAGACAAATCAGTGTAACATAAAAATTACCAGAGAATTGAAGCATATTCTTAAATATAGTCAAGCTTTATATATTTTTCGAAATGAAGGAAAGCAGTGTACCAACCTATAAGGGTAACAGAAACCCCATTCTTCTTCTTCATACTCGCTGGTGGAGGAGTTCCATCCATGTCGCTGCAGGTACCAGAATCCAAAGTATCACTTGGCGAAACCTGCCCGCTAGACATGACTCCGAAATTGAACCCCCCATAGTAGAAATAGTTATTCCCAACTTCATTCCCCCTATCCATATTATTCTTCAGAACCATATCAGACTGATCTCCGTTCAGACTTATCCTAATGCACGGCGCTGTATCACAGACGACATCTTTCTGTCTGTCACCGTCACTATTCACTATCGTTTTGCTGGTACTAGTGGTACTGTCACTGGTACTGTCACTGTTCACTAGGGTTTTGGTAGTACCCCGGCAGTTTTGGGGACTGATGAGAATTTTGACGACGTGGTTTTTGGTCTCTCGCGATTCACACTGGCTGTTGCTGAGAGGCACTGCAGTGGTACCGTTTGGTAGTACCGTTGAATATGCGGATTCTTGCAGCGTAGCGGTTCGCGTCTTAGTCTTCGGTGGTACCGGCGGTGGAACTGCGACTGTCTCTTCCATATTGGTGGCTTATCTGAAAATCAAATAGAGTTAGGCCTTTCTAATTGGTGGATATGTGAATGTTGTTTCGATTTTGGGTCAACTGGCGAATTAGCATTTTGGCGAGGAAGTCTTTGGTTGCTTGAATTCATCGAGTAACTTGAACGGTTTACGTGATCGGTGTTAGAATAGTTCAAAACAACCGATGCATTATTTCATTGGAAAGTATCTAAACTGTTCTAATCAGTTACTTTCACGCCCAGTGAATTTTATTTGCTTTGTTTTCAATCTGATTTGATAGTCAATTTTGTAGGATTTCCAGTTACTCGATTTACTCAATCCAGTGGCGTATACAACTTCTTATCCTGGTGGGAATGAATCGTAGTACAACTTTTGTTACGAAACCACAAAGAAGCATATGATAAGCATTAGTAATGTGAGTTTTTTCATCAATGGTCTGTTTGATGAAATCCTGAGAATTGAAGGAAACGAAATAAAATATGAAACTTATCTGAAATATAGAACAGAATTGATCTTAGAGCTTTTGGAATAATGTACTAATGAAAAATCTTACCGTTCGAAGAGAATTTTCGTCAACAATGATTTGGAATGGCCATGAGCTATTACTTTATTATTTGATTTGAGGACAACCCATGATTGAATTAAGGTTAGCAGGAGAAGTTTATAATCAGTTTTTTGTTTGGAAAAAAAACTATAGACACTAATGAATATCTTTACTATAAATATGATCATCACGCTAATGTTTGATAGGGCTGAGACAGTTTTCAATTCAGTTCCTAATTTCAGAAGGAAAAATAACTATGATTGAAATGTTTTTGGAGGAAACCGCGTATCCGTAACACTTTGTAGAAAGAACTGTCAATGAAGGTGGGTAAAATAATAACCGACATATACAGATTCCACAATTATCACGAATCCAACAATAAGACACCTCAACTCTCAATTAACACCATACCTTATGTACCTGGTTTGTGTGAAAAATTGGGCCGAATCGGTTACATATATGAAGAGCAACTTTCAGAACTACCAAAGCATCAAGATCCCTTTTGATACAAACTGAACTCAAAATTATGGTTGGGAAAGTGTATTTACAATATACCATGTTGCTGAGGAAAAAGTTATAAGAATGTTTTAAACGTTTTGTCCTTTTCAATGTTATGTTTTTTTTTAGCTCCATATCACAATAAATTACTGTATCGTGATATTTTATATCCTCATCGATAGATGATTTTGTACTCTATACAATTGATGCAGTTCATTTCTTTTTCAAATTAATTTTGTTTGCTTATTCTAAGTTCAGTTGAACCAAAGCGCTGCTGAAACAGCCAAAAAAATGTAACCAGGCATTCAATCTTGAGGTTGGTTTGCGGAATTTCATTTAGGAAATTTCAGACTCATAGACAACACCTGAAGTGATCGACCTACAATAATCCAGGACGAGGATTTGAGGACCCTGGTGGAGACTGACCTATCACAAACGGTGTGTGAGACGCTGGTAGAACTGTGCGTTGGCTCCCATGTCCCAAGACAGTGCTTCGATTCCTATGAGCCCCCCAGGCACTTCACAATGGCGAAAACTCGTCAAAAAGACAATGATTACTGTATGGTGGTCAGCGGCTGGTGTAATTTACTATAACTTTCTGCAACCGGGCCAAACCATCACGGCAGAGTCACAATCTAAGAAAAACGATGCAATGAATAAAAAATTTTGTTATCAGCAGCCGGCACTTGTCAACAGAAGAGGTCCGATCCTGTTCCAAGACAACACCCATCCGTACGTTCCATTTTGAATAAAATACTAAGGATACATTCACTATAACATAATAATTTTGAAGAATCATGTATTATTATCCGTATTCTATATAACATGTGAATTGAAAGGGTATATATACTCTTTCAATTTACATATTATCTTCTTTCAGTAATAGAAGAAGTACAAGTCGAATTGCATTTATCTGCGGCTTTGGAATTAACTTCAATAAATGGCAGGTGGACAATGAGGTCGTTATGCTAAATTTGAGAGCTGCATCGATCTGATGAATCCGATATATGATTTTCTTTGAGAAAATTAATAATCATCTTTCAGTTTCATCTTTGAAATTATTAGTATTCAACTTTTTGGTTCAAAAAACATTTTTCATGACACTCAGTGGATATAATATGGTCGTAGTATAGTAAAAGATAGTGTCAAAGAAAATCTTGAAACAAAAGTTAAAACTGGAAATGAAATATGTTCAGGAGATATCAGTTTTTTGGTAATTTGCTTTTTAGTTTTCCACGTCTCCATCATTGAACGGAACTTCCACAGAAAGAATGGAAGAAAATGAATACGAATGTTTGTGGAACAAACTAAACGTAAAAAAAGAATTTTCGTGTAATTCAACGTTCAAGTGAGAGTACTTGTTGCGAAAGAATTTTCTTCAGTTCTTTTCTGAAATGAACTTCCCTTCATTATCATTAACTTTTTTTTTCTTCTTCTCTTTGGTAGTTTTCCACTTCTTTAATGGTGTAAGCCAAAATCACTAACATTTCCAATCGATATAAATTTGTTCATAGTGTTCTCAGATGGAAAACCGCCTGCTTCGGTAACGTTGAGCTCTACGTAAGATTTTTAGTATTTTGCAGGAACCAATCCTTGCACACACGATCAGAACAGGATAGTTTTTGTAATAAATCGATGGTCAAAAATATGAAAAGAAGATACCGAATTTCTTATTTAGATTCAAATTCATGACAAAATTGTCATAAAGAGAGCACACTCTGATTCACTGACGTGAATTGAGAAATCTAACCTCTAACAACAGAGAAAAATCTTCGGGTTAACCTCTCTGAAACGCCCGTTTCAAGAAACGTGAGCATTTACCTCGTACAATAAGCGTTTTTTAATTCGAATATAATGATAGCAGTTATTCAAATTTTTACAATATATTAGAAAGGTTTATGTAAAGGTCATATGCATCAGTAATTTTACAATGGAATGTGAGAGAAAATATGTTACTCAAGTGGATTTGAAACAAAATATCGAATGAACTGAACCGAGAGGTTTATTAACGAGGCCGGTCTTATTTTGATCGTGTTCAATCATACACTCTCAGGATTGGATGGTTCTAGAATTATTCAGCTTTTGAAGAGCAAAATACTTTGAAGTAGGAGGAATTTGAAATAAAAGGGGTTGGTCATAGATGTTTTAGTTTCAATCCTTCAGTTGAATTTATAAATTTAAGATATATTTTGATATTTTGCGCCTATTATATTTGAAACTTTTGAATTGAATGAGCCACTATCTGAAATAATTTTTCTATTAATCAATGATGTAGAATGTGTTCTTTGTAGGATGCCCTGAAGTTGGGTTGTCAAATGAAAACTTTGAATACCTGAAAAAATATTGCGTTGAATGAAATTCACTTTTCCGAATTGTAAATCAGTGAAATAATTTCCTTTTCCTACAAATGAATAGTAAAAACTGAAAATGACATCGATTACCATTCTCAGCTGAAGTCAGGTGTAATAACTGCCATTGCGATAGCTAACGAAAAATATCATTTTATTCATAAAGATCGGGGTCGGTCACACGGTTTTTCGATACCGATATTTTTGCAACAGAGTGAGCGTTGAATTTAATTCAAGATTGTTGAACTTTGGCGTATCATAAATGGTTGTGTTTCGTTCGGCTAGACTAAACAAACGTATGCTGTTGATGAGTTATAATAATGGGAACGCGAAAATGCAAGCTAGGAGTTTGCATTTCAGCTTCATGGACAGGAAGTTCGGCCATATCTGAATAGGAGGGCCCGAAAATGTATTTAAAATGAAAACTGACCAACGACTTCGATGAAAAGAAGATATAGGTCTTGAGTAGGAAGAGGTATGGACCAAGTATGGTCCATACCTCTGGAGGAGATATCAGACCAATCAGGGGAAGGAGTGTTACGGACAGTTTTTCGGACTCAGGAATACTGAGGAGTCGGGTTAATTTGCAGGGTGGCGATCGGATAGTTGCGGAAGAGGGTCGCGAAACGGTCGCCGAAGTCAGTTGCGATAGAGGAGTTGCAAAAAGAGTCCTTGGCGAAAGAGAGTTGCGAAAGTTAATTGGGGGACAGTGGTGATTTGACAGTTGCGGGAAGTCGGTCGCGAAAGTGAATTGCGATAGAGAAGTTGCGAAAATCAGTTGAAAAGTCAATTGCGCAAAGATTCCTTTGCGATCGAGAGTCATTTGGGAGAGTTGCGATAAGGGATTTTTCTGAAAAGGGATTTTGCGATGGTGGAATTACGGTAAATTGCGGTCAGTCAATCGATTGTGGTGTTGCGTTTGGTGGCATTTACAACGGAGTTCTATTTCACACTGATACCGTACCAGAGAGGGATACCAGAACCCATTATAGGATTTTTACTAACCCCCAAGTCGGTATAGAGAGAGAAGATGTCATTTCGATTTTGAAATAATTGTCTTATTATTGTTTCGTCTTGGGAACGATATAAGAAGGGCAATAAATTAGACTACACCCCTTTCATATGTGTAAATATCATATTAATTAGTACACAGGGGTTTGAAACTAAAAAATAGTACGGCGGCCAGGCAATTTCAAATAATCATTCCAGAATTTCCTCAAAACTCGAGTAGAGTAATTTAGGTTTTCGTGTAAGTTGGAATTCTACCTTATAAGAGAGTATATAACATTTCACAATTTGATAAAGATATAATTTTTGCTTGAGAATCATCTATTTTAGATGTGCTTTCTTGTTAAATTTCGATTTAACCTTTCGAAGCTTTTGTTTCACTCTCAGACACAGTTATTTGTTATGGTCTACAAACATTTCCGTTTATTGTTTTTATTGGTTTTGTAATATAAGCCTAATCTGAAGCTTGTTGTTTTTTGAAGGCTCACTATTCGAGCAAGTTCTGTACCATTTCAGGGTAGTTGAAAGGCCTTTAGCATTAAGTATTAGTCTCCTACCTCATTCCGGAGTAGAACTTAGAAGGAAAACCATCTCAAAAAGGTACATGGTGTAGTTAGGTTTCAAAAAGACCGGCCCTCGTGCATTCGGCACGAACCCTACAGTTTTTTCAGACCTGCCTTGATATTCAAAAATTAATGTGGAGAAATCTTCATTCCGTGACAGCCACTGCCAAATTAATGATAATAATAGATAAAACCATATATGGATACAATACATATACGGTTGTATTACACAGGCAAGTTTTCACATCGTATAATTTAACATACATACATAACATACGTGAATCGTGAATGTTCAAATTTCACGGGTTACGTACATTCGATTAGCAGGATTTTTATTTTTCTATGTTGCCACACTCGTCTCTAACATATTTTTACAGTTTCAGCTGTTTAGCATGTTGACTTTGTTGGTAAAAAGCAAACAAGTTAGGACTGCGTTGAATGTTTCTGCTATCGAAAATGGGATCAAAGTTTTCTGTAAGTAATGGAGTTCAACGCTAGATAACACTCAAAATATTGACAGTGGCATAAGGTGGTTGTACTCTTAGCAAAGCAATGTTTACAAGTGGTAGAAACTTTTCACTGAAAGTCGAAAAGATGTGACAGACATTAGATAAAAGAGGATTGAAAACATAGAAATTGAAATGGGAAAAGTAAAACTAAAACAATGCCAGAACATAAAATGTTTAGGTATGATTATGAATGACACATTATATTGGAAATTCCATATCAGAGAATTAATGTCCAAACTAAACAGCAAACTGTAATGAAAATTTTATTATGCTGAAATTCAGTCACGACTCACATATGGAATCTCATTATGGGGTTCATCATCAGCAACTCAGAAATTATTTGTAATACTGTTTTCGTCAATTACCGTGGCGTAGTGCTTCAGGAGTGCTTGCCACATTGTCGTACACGGTCAATAAGGAAGTTATGCGCCACTTGCGAGAAGCAATACGCAGAAAACGTCCGGTATGGCGAAAAAACAGTTCACTGCTTTCACATCACGATAATGCACTTGTTCGTAATTTTTTGGTCAAAAACAACACCGTAATCATGCCTCATCCAACGCATTTGGCTTCCTGCGACTTTTTCCTGTTCCCAAGACTGATGAGACCCATGAAAGGACGGCATTTTGCGACGATTGAAGAGATAAAAACCGATTTGCTGAGAAATGCTTCGAAGATTGTAATGAACGCTTGCACAAGTAGAATATATCTGAAGGGGGATACTTTGGGGAAGGCAAAATAGGAATTGATGAATAAATAACGGCGCCAATACAAATATTCATGAGGTAACGAACCCCGTTCAAAAATTGAAAGGATATTCTGAAACAGGCTACAGAAATCACAGAATGATTTCAGGTTTCTCCCAATCGACTCCTGAAAATATGCGAAATTCCAAATGATAATCGAATGATACATAATTTTTGACAAATCCTCACTCTCGATCGTTGATCAATCAAGGATAAAAGAGAAAGTTTGTCTTGACCCTGGGCATTTTATTCGCGAGTTTCGGCGTGGCACACCTTTCTGTTGTGTTTTCTGACTAACAATTCGACTAGGAAGTAGAATTGCTTAGAATTGCTTACATAATCCAAATGAAACATAAAGTTGATAGGTCCTACTCACTTAATTTTCAGATAAATGGCCCAAGGAAGATACAGAAAAATCGCTCCTTCATCAGGTACAAAATGAAGAAAGATATTATAGGCGTATTTCCAAAGTGAAAAGTTACCAGAGCAGACGTGATTTGTGTTTATACGATCATATACATTTACTCAAAGTCATATTTTTTTACTGCATCAAGCCCAGTTGCATTTTTGTCAGTATGTATCTTCAATACAAATTTGAAAGTGATCACTTACAGTGTCATTCTGGCCTTAATAATCTCAGCTGGAAAAGAAAATATCACTGATTAGCCCAAAAACAATTGTGGTACTGATAATAGAAACTTCGGGAAAGAGTTTGATTTTACTTTTTTTATACATTGTTTTCTCTGTTTTCATTGTGTTTTCGTTGTTTTTATTTCATTGGGAGTTCATTATCAACATACTTTCCCTATTGAAATCATCAATTCATTTTAATTTCAGGCTTCAATAACATCCTCAAAATATTTTAGTAACAAAAATAAGAATGCTATACAAAACCGCAAAAATGCGTCTTCCACTACACCAAAACTTATTTGAGTTTGTTCAGTACTATATTTGACAGGCCTGGAACATGAATCTCAATAAAATGTTATATTCATCCAATATCTGCCAGTTCCATCAGATAACTTTTTCTGCAAATCAGCATCCCTATACAATTAGATTTCATAGTAATTCATCGTTTTCTCTGATAATTTTTATTATTTTATTTTATTTCATTATTTTCAACTGAGTCAGATTCTCATAGATTTCAAATAAAAACTTTTTCAGGCAATGGAAGTTTGGACCATCAAACATTATCAACCACTTGAATACAAGATAAAAGTTTCATCGTTTGTAATTTATCAATCTACGAATGATTTGATAAAAAACAATAATTTTAGCGTATGCCCCAATACCGCTTATCCAATCAACCACATTCAAATAAACGAGTAAATTTCTGTAAATTTGTTGTCATCTCAATAAGGTCTGCGTCAGTGAAAGTTTCTCAGTGAATCAAATTGTTGCTTTCTTTAAAGGATAAAATACAAGCACTACAGGAAAATCCTCAAGGCGCTCTAAGAGCGGTGCCTGTGCGAAAATAGTGATTTACATTGGATTTGAACCGCTGAAATCCATTTGAAAAAACGGTTTCAGAAAGTTTATTCCGCATAAACGTCATTCTCCAAATGAAAGGGTTTTTTAACAGTGAAGTTTGTGGTGTACGGAGTTGAACCCCATAACGATGAGCAGCCACAGTCCGTCGCGTATTTCTGACATGCACCGCTCTTGGTGGAATCAAATGTGCCAAGTCACTTGAACACTTGTCGTGAAAGTATCTATAGAAGAGAGATAAATCTCCAACTTTTCTTCGATGTTCCAGGCTATCAAGGTTCCACGTGATGTTCGCGTCTTCAATCAGGCAGATGGCTCTTTTCGGGATGGAATTCAGCATCTTCAGGGTAAGTTTGGGGGCGGAGCTCCATACATGAGAACTATACTCCAAAGGATGTCTGATGTGAGCGTTTAAAAGAATCAAAAGTTGCTGGCATGGTACAGTTTTCTGGTTCGGAACAGTGTTCCAAGCTTTTGAGAAGCAGCTTTGCAATTCCAGCGACATGATTGTGCCAAGGCATATTGATGTTCATTTTAACTCCCAACAAACTTATCGAAGTAGAAAGTGGAATTGTCTGACCTGAGATTATTATATCTGGTTTGGAGACATTTATCTTCATGGATAAAACCAATGGCTGAGTTTTTGTGGCACTGAATTGAACCTGGTTACTTTCACCCCAATTCGAAATTACTTCCAGATTTTCATTAAGATATTCAACCTCCTGCTGCCGGTGAAGATGTTCTTCCGCATCCGATTTCCTGGGATCCAAATGTAATGACGAGATAAGTGTCTGGCGTCAGCAGAGCAATATATTCAATTCATGCTTTTTTCCAATTTAAAAGCGTACCAACAGCGGTTGAAGGAGAAATATCTCGAAGATACAATCATACAAAGGTGAAGATGAAAAGAAAAATACTACAATGAAGAATAAGACATTTTCATTTTTCGTTCCTCTGCAAAAACACTTCTAGTTAAAAATATTTTATATCGTCATGGACTTTCTTAACAAAAGTATCGGAAGAATCACGAAATTATGACGAAAATCTAATTGAAAAACTGAGAAAACTGGTTGTTGTATGAGATGCAGTCAAGGTCTATGATGAAAACTCTTTGCTAGTTTGATTTTGACATGAATCATGTCAAAATTAATTTTCAAAATATTTTTCGTTTCGATTTGCTGCAAATTTTTTATATTAATCTCATGTTGATTGTCCTGAAGAAGGAAATGAACATTTCCGAAAGCTTGACAAACTAGCAAAGAGTTTTCATCATAGACCTTGACTGCAACCTCAAATTATCATCTGATTAATTCATAGATTCAGTCATTAAATATCCTACTTTTAGATAGGATAGGATAGGATAGGATAGGATATTTAGAGGAATTGGGAACAGTGTGTGTTATAGATCGTTGTTAAAGATTGCCAAAAAAAACAAGCAATAACAATATTGTTTGTTATAAAAGTGACAAACATTATTTTTTCAGTATGTTGTATGCATGTTTCAAGAGAATTGTTTTATTGTTACACCTCCATATTGTCAAGAGAATCGGCTACAGGTTAGTATGGTAACACATTTGACCCGGCTAATGTGAGATATCAAGACCCACTCTGTCCAGTAGCTCTTCATACATACATATGTTGAAAAAACACTCATAATCTTCAATATGCTCACCTTTCCAGTATCAAGTTTTAATCCACAAAACACATGATCACAGAATCCAATCGCGTCACGAGCGGTTATTCCGATTCGCGGACCATCTGCAGAGCGCACAGAATCAAAAAAAAAAAAGAATCGCAGCTGCCCTCTTTAGCGTCAGACACTGTAACAACCCGATGGCGATATTCGCGGTCTTAACGGAGAGTCCACAAGAACCGTTGAAAGATCGACTCGTGAAGGCTGACTGGTTGAGGTGGAAGTATGTGCAGTCGGTGGCCCACTTGGAGACCACCTCACCAGAAGGTAGGCTTTCTAGAGGCGACTTTTAGTCCGGTTAAAATCAACATTTCGATTTGTAATGAATCGCATAGAGCTGAAAATTGGTACAGGTCATAGTTGTCTGTCACATCTAGAATCTGTGAAGGGGTGAAGTTATCGAAATACGTTGAACATTTTTGAAATAATATCTGAAATACAATAAATTGATGGATGAAGCCGTTACTACGTTGTAGGAAATCATGATGAAGGAAAGAGAATGGAAACTTTCTAGGTTTTTTACCACTTTTATTTGTAACTAACGTTACTGCAGTTTCGTCCTCTAAGGACATTTTCAAACTTATACATTAACAATGATTGAGTTTGCAACCCTTCCTCGCATAGTGCGAAATTTTCGTATCGTTTACATTTGGGAACTTGTGGTTGGCAACCACAAGTTTCCGAATCAAAACGATACGAAAATTTTGCACTATGCAAGGAAGGCTTGCACACTCAATCACTTGGAATCCTTGGAATTTCACATGCATAAACATTGCGGTTGCAGCCTGTTGAATGATCAAATTGATTTAGTTCACTCAGCGGTTTTCAAATCAACATATACACATTGTCACTAGTAAACAAAATTCAGGTGCTCAATCAAGCTAAATAACCTCTATTATTACCTACAGTGGTGTTATATAAGGTCTAATGTAATCAATCATTGTTAGTTCAATGTATAAGTTTGAAAAAATCCTTATAGGACGAAACTGCGGTAACGTTAGTTACAAATAAAAGTTTAAAAAACATGGAAAATATCAAATTTTTTTTCTTCATTGAAATGCAATGTACCATATTTAGTGTCTAAATTAGATACAATTTTCTACAATTTGGTATCAGAAGGTAATTTTTATGGCTATCCTCCTATGAAATATAGAAATTCAACCGTTTTTTGAGAAAAATTGAAAATCATCAGTAGTTGTTGAGGCTTCAAGATTATAACCTTCGTCCTTGCAGTCAACGAATATACCACATACCGAGGTTTTCAGTGTTGCTATTTTTCGGGATTGAAGGCCGTCAGTTTTTGTATTATTTTCCTGACGTTTCGCTGAGGTGCGTGGCTAGCTTCTTCAGAGTCCTCTGAATAAACTTGAAGATGCTCGAATGGAACCTGACCACATTTCCTGATATCTTGTAATAATTAGTTGTCGCTATGAGTGAGAAATAAAAATAGTTCAAAAATTACAAAATTTCGCCATTTTTCGCTAATATCTCAACACGCAAAAATCGACTTCGTGACAAAAATCCTGATTCACATTCCAAATCAGAAGTTTTAAATTTTTACATGTCTGTTTGACATACTACGAGTGACTATTTCCGAAATATCTCTATTTCAAAAGTTGAATAAATTATATATCACATAATATGCAGACATTTCGTACAACCTTGACGTGTACTTGAGTCTTTTTTCGATAACCCTGTAGGTGCACTCCACGATCTGTTGTGTTTGGTTCAATCACATACTCACACTGATAAAAATGATAACATTGATAATGATGAGACTGGAATAAATTACCGGGAAAATTTTAAACTGATTGTCAATCTTCAAATGTTACATCATAATGCTACTGTTTTCTCCCTTCCACTTCTCCTTTTTACGCTGGATATGTGAAAAGTGTTAAAAAAAGGCTCATCATTCTTTTCCTCATTGACATTATGAAAATATTTATCCAGGAATTCCTTGATGAAACAAGACCGGCTATGACAATTAGTACATATTGGTGAACAAAATAATTCAACATTTTTGTAGTCACAGTTTCCGCTAAAAACCTTCGTGTAATTGTAAAAAGTTTGTAGTAACTTAAGCTATTAGTTAGCAGCAGTAATACTAATATATGTTGGATTAATAATAAAGGGTTCTATCATGAACTTCAATGGTGCTACTCAACATGGTTGAAAGAGAGAGTAATTTGTCTCAATTCAATATATTGAATATTTGTTTTGTTGCTTCAATTGGAAAGGAACTCCAAGAAGTCATGACTAATAATTTCATCATCATCAATGATTTCACTGGTCATTGATTTTATCAACCTCGGAGAAATGTTTGAAATGGCGATGGGTCAGAAAAGTAATTCGTAGAAACAAAAGACGGGAACAGTTCTGTAGGATACAGCACAACCTACCTCCACTGGATTTATTTTTTCAGTATTCAACGTTAACGAGAAGAATTCAAAAAACCGATATTTTTGACCTTTTACCGTTTCTACCACTTATGGGTTTGATGAGAACTTTTGACACTTCATTTATAATAGTGTATTCAAGACCTATGGAAGTTTTCAGCTCTGAGCGATCTATTGTAAGCTTACCACTTTTTTGGCTTATTTTGACTGAACTATTTGTGTTGCTGCAAATGTCTCACACTCTCTAATGGGTCGTCGGAACGTGTTCGGTTTAACCTGGATTCGAAATCGGATGAGTTTGTACTTATATCATCGTCTTATCTTTTCGAATCAGGTGTTTCGTATACAGTGTATGCGTGAATGGGAAATTTTTCGATGTGATCTCCGTACTTTAATAGCTGATAATTGGCATAAACATCCATTGTTGGCAATTCCCGTTATATTTAGCAGTTTTCTGAGATTGAAGTATTGGACCAATCTGGTTGTTTTTGTGTTTCCTAACCCTGGTCTGTAGAATACAAAGAACCCAAAAACAGCAAATATTTTGTTGGACAAAGATCGTGGTAGCCTTCACACCGGAACAACATATTCCACTTATACAGAGTGGGCCAAAGTGGAAACTCCTGTTTTCCATTTAGATAGATGAAAACTGATTCTAACCAGCGAAGTTATTTTATAATTCCTATAAAATTAAAAAACCATTATAAAATAGTCAGGAAATTATCACAGAAACGTTTTTGAAACTAACTTATAAAACTTATATTCCTATAAAAGTAAATTGTTATGTAGCAGTTTTATAACACTTTTCTGCGAGATTTTTATGATAGTTATAAAACAATGTCAAGCTTATTTTATAACTGTTTGCTGTAGCTTCAATGAAATTATTTCATTAGAATGCTTTCATACACTATTTTATTTAACTTTTGCTAATATATATTTGCTGCCACCAAGAATAGTATGCAGCATTTAAGAACAACCAGCTGACATCGATTTCTAATCACAGCTTTGAAAAATTCTTCAAAATTTTAGTTATGTTTAGTAAGAATATTTTTGTTTAGTGATTCTAGTGGGACACTATCGATATCGTTGAGGAAATTAGTTCTTCAGCAACAAAATAAATAATAACTCAATGGCGGTCATTTTGAACATTTATTGGGGGGGTATATAACAGTTTTAGAATCAGTTCGAGGTGCTTCAAATAGACGAAGAAATGACTTGGTGTTCCATAAAAAAACTTTCTGAAAGCTTTGAGTCGCCCTGTATATTGGAAATACTGAAAAAAGACTTTTAACTATCCCACCTAACCTAGTGTTTCAATTTTTCTTTGCGAAAAACAGGAAAACGTTATTATAATGGTTAAATCCCATTGTTTAGCCTTTATAATCGATGAAAAAAACTTTTTAGCCAAAACATCCCGACAGATAATATTTATCCATACTATAGGTGAGAAATCCTTCATTCATACAAGCACTTTTATAGAAACCTACAGATTTAAAAGTAGTCTGACTCTGCCGCAATACCCTCACTCCTAGAAGTAAGTGTTTCTTAACAGTTTTATAGGGGTAACATAGTAGCTTAAATACGTTGAAATGCTTGCTACTGAAACCAATTTATTTTATAGAACGACGCCATTTTGAATGATAGGGATCTGGGATACTGAAATTAGATGAGTTGAAAATATGAAATCCTGCACATATAGTGAAAAATACATAAATATTATAACATGATATTATTCAGAATGAAGTAAGTTAAGTTTGTGACTAGAAAATTGATACCTCGACAGAGTGAATTTTTGTATAATTAATAATTTAACCGAAAACATTTATAAATGAGTGGCGCGTTTAAATTTTGCTAATAATAGGCTATATATTCTTCAATAAAATTTCATTTGCAGTAAAAATATCAATCTTCGAAACATAATCAATGTCTTTAACAGTTTTATGAGTGCAAAAGTGGAATTTTGAAATGGCTTCAACCTTTATATTTCTAAGTTTTCAGTTGGTGACATATCAATTATATTTTCCTAGTGTCCAATACAAAATTACTTCTTGCGTCTTCAAGAGAGGGAATGAAAATTAACAATTGACAAAACACCGAAGTACACTTTTGAAACGAAACCTGAAATATATTGTGCGGATAGAAATTCGTCGTTCTTCCAATTTTGTAATACGCATTCAATAGTTTTTTTAAGCCGAAATGAGAAGGTCAATATTCTCAGTTCAAAATTCGTCAAGACTAAATTATAAATATAGTGAAGAATTCAAGAAACTGACGGACTGGAACTAGATGCCTGCTAAAATACTCATAAACCACGAGACGGCAAGAGAACTCAAAGACGTAAATGATAGATTTTGAACCAGTTATAAGGGTGCCAAAATCATTGATCTGGTGTCATATCGAGAAAGGTGTTATATAACCATGTTGTTGTTCTATGTGTATTTCCGCAACGAATAAATGAATAAATAAATGAGAAATGAAAATAATACTGGCAAAATATCCTTAGAAACATGCACGACAAAACCTTCGAATGGGAATTATCCAAGAAAAAACTGCGAACTATTCCAAAAGAATAGATTGCGGCTCAGAAAACTTGTCATTTAGTGCTACTCATTGGATGAGATCCATTTAGAGAACAATTGAATAGCAGGAAATGCAAAAAAAGAAACATAGACAACTCTCTTCTTTATGTGAACTTTAGACACTGGATCATAATAGGAAGGCAATTTGTGGTCAATCAAAATTGTGCTCAGAAAAATGTTATGAACATTCAACAGAGTACAAAAAACTATTTCCATCGAAAGATCCTTTTCTATTCCTTAGGAACTTTGCCCCTATTTCATTTAAGGTTGTCTTATCAACTATCCGGCCAGTTCTGCAATAGGTGGTAAAACTATCATTCATAAACAAATGAAAATTCATTCAAATAAAATCAGCATTACTTTTTTGCCGTTTTTATTTGGAAATGTACTACATCGGTGAAACGTTAACAAATTTGCCCCTGAGAATCAATGATCCAGAAGAATTAAAATAAATGCAATAAGTTTCTATCTACCTTCAAAGATCGTCAAATGAAAATATAAAATTCAGAAAAAATAACTTTACGATTTGCCAATTTTCCAGAAGATGAACAATCAACATATCAAATCGAATGGGATTTACCTTGACATCGAATTGTGAAGAAATAATCACGGACTTTGCTACATTGGTTAAGAAACATCAGATAGCCCGCTTTCGTTAGTTAAACATATATTTATTGATTGCTTATGATATACTTTATTATGTGTATTCACCTATGTTAATAATAATTTTATTTTGAAACCTTAAGATATGCATCTAGGACAAGAGAAAATTGATGTGGAAGTTTTTTGGGATGAATTCATTTGCTCAACGGAGAAAAAATTGTGTCTAGAGACCACATTAAAATTCTGTGTTGGACTCTGACAGTGATATTGATATTGCTCAGAATTGAGATTGGGTTCATTTCTTTTTTGAAAACTTGGCAATATTTTGAGGTGGGTTATACGATATTCTATTTAAGATATAAAAACTGTCACGAATACTCAAAAAGAGGCAATCTGCATTCAAAAATATTTCTAATGATGTGACTCATGAATAATGATTCTAATATAGCTGGAATATATTCTCAATTTCTGCCTTGATGGAGAGTACGTTGATGTTGATACAATCATTTCCCATCGCGAATATTTACTCTTTGTTATTTATTTCGCATATATAAGATTATAAAATCTATGAAGGCAGAATTCTCACAAATTTTTCACGAAATATAAAGTTGGAGAGATTCAATAAATACATCATAAAGGCTTTCAGTTGTCAAACATTCGTTTCCCATGTATTGAATTATTCTACTGGCCACAAAACCTACTTTTTATCATAAGTACCCTGTCCCTTATATCCCCCGACATATCCGGTATTTTCAGCGAGATCTTCCCGTCCTTCTTTCCCTTTTCCATGGCCGCTCTCATCGAATCTCTCCTTGTGACTCCCTGTATATTTCGAAGTATCCGTCAGCCTATCGACTGCTCCAACATGGACCGCCTGTGTCGACTTATTGGTGCCCGGCAAACCACATTCTTGGAGCTTTTCTTTGATGTTGTCGACGGGGATATTCTTCTGGTGTGCCAGATCTTCTATGAAGTTCAAAAAATCTGTGTAGCCTATCGTTTTCGATTTGAATTTGTTGAAGGTTATGCCTGTGTCCGTCGTTGTCAGCTTTTTGTCAATCACACCTGTAACATTCAGTGTTCCAATTGGTATAGGACAATTTTCTAGGAAAGTAAAGTATCCTAGTGATAATAGTGATAACATTGGTACATGTAATTTTCACTCACAATTATCAGAATAGCAGATGACCGAGTACTTCCAACTTGAAATGGAGATTAGATGTCAGAAAATATAAAAAAACAAAGCAGTTCGTTATAAGCTCTAGTAAAAAAAGTTTTTGGCTTTCTACTACTCCATTTTGATACAAAAAAATGAGTGAATCTTCCAAAGAACGGAAGGAAGTAATCAATTTGAAAATAAGTAACTCTATACATGGATGTGTAGATCATGCAAAGAAGTAACTTTCAGACACAAACTGAAAGAAAGTCCTTCTGAAACAGCTACTTTCATATAAACATTGAATTACACGAGAGAAAAGAAATTCTTTCGAAACAAATACTTCTACATGAACACTGAATTATACAGAAGATACTTTTCTCTACTCAGTTTGTATTTCAAACATTCTTTGTGTTACCATTCATTTAAAGTAGAACCTATGTGAATGATATCTGATTTTTATTCCACAATGAATGTTTGAAATACAAACTGAGTAGAGAAAAGTATCGTCTGTATAATTCAGTGTTCATATAGAAGTATTTGTTTCGAAAGAATGTTTTTTCTTTCGTGTAATTCAAAGTTTAAATGAAAGTAGTTGTTTCAGGAGGACTTTCTTTCAGTTAGTGTCTGAAAGTTACTTCTTTGCATGATCTACACATCCATGTATAAAGTTACTTATTTTCAAATCGATTACGGGTGAAGCCGTTACTACGTTGTAGGATATCATCATAAAAAATGAGAATTTTTTCACCACTTCCATTTTCAACTGACATTATTCTAGTTTCTTCCTATAAGGACATTTTCAAACGAATATAATTTTGTATTCGTTTGGAAATGTTGTCCTTATAGAGCGAAACTTCAGTAACATTAGTTACAAACAAAAGTGGTGAAAGGAAGTTTCAATTTCCATTTTTCAAGAGTTATGTCTTCGGCTGAAAACTGATTTTTCACTAAGCAATGAAATGAGGATTGAAAAGAAAATATTTTTGAGAAAGATAATTTTTGTAAGACAGTTTTTGTCTTTTTACTCCGGTGTACGAAATATGGAATAGTTTTCTCTTCTCTAATGGAAAGATAGAAAGCTAGAAAGCTCAAAATGATCTTCAATTGGACATGTCATAATCTCCAAAAGAATTTTTTTGGTGAATCCTAATATAATCTATTTTCTTTCAGATGAAACTGTCCAAATTCTCGGCAACAATAACTTATTTCATCCTAAACAGTAGTTTTACAATTACAAGTAAATAGACTTCACTCACACAAAACATCGTCAAATCGAAGTCTCGATATTTCAGAAAGGACGTCTTTTTTTATTGAAGAATTGAATTGTTCATTGTAAGAGTATGAACACTTACACACAGTGTACAGTTTGGAAATGAAATGATATTACTTCCAATTCGTGCATTGTTTAGTTTTATTGTTATTTAACGTATTCAAAAAACACTTTATTGTGAGATTTTCACTCAACAGTTTTACAAAAACGCAACACGTGTTTTGCCATACACTGGCTTCTTCAGATGTGTCTTTGATAACTATATTCTACATATTCAATGCTTTATATACCTAATGTTACAATTTGAAGTACCTTCATTTCAAGTATCTGAGTTTTACTTGAGTTTGTAATGAAATAAACTACCTGAGCTCATTTTCCATTTTCCACATTTGAAAAAATATTCAGTAACAGGAAGTTATTCAATTCTAATGGATCATTCAGTAGGTAAATTACGCGAATTCTTGTATCTGTTGATTTCCAAACATTCTAGAAGATTGCGTTTCAAACTTTTCTCTTTTAAATGTAACTCGTCGTATTCATGATTGTTATTTTTCGAGATGTGTTTCTTAATAAATGATTGAAGCTAGGTAAACAAAAATTTGTAATGTAAATCGACGGAAGTTATACAAATAAAGTCAAAATTGAACCAATGACATTATTTCATGTGGTGATTCCTATTCTTAATACGCATCTAATATAACTGAAGAGATTTTGTGATATAAAGTGACTAACCTGCTTGTTTGAACCATTTGTCTATTTGAGTAAGAGTTATTGTTTTGCCATCTGCTTTTGTATCTCCAAATTTTGCAAAACTTATGAATTGCTGGTCTAGTTTCATGCCTCCTTGGGCCATTATAGAAGTGAACTTGGAGTTTTTTTGGATATCACTGAAAATTTTGTTCTTTTTGAAATTTGACGTTTTGAAAACTGCAATATGACAGAACTGAAGAAAACTTCAGATACTCGTACAGCAAATGACGAAATTGTCATCTGATTGTGACTAGCAAGACGTAACTTCGTGTTACTTCTTTTTAGATCTTAGAGATCTAATAAGAAGTAACCGAATGAATATGTTTTGAATGAAAGCCCTTTTTGTAACTTATTATTCTATTCCCGATGAAAAAAAATCCAAAAACACAAAACTCATAAAAATTGATGCTGTCATTTTTGAGTTCTTTTATTAATATTATTATCATTAATTTTTTTGATAAAATATTATACATTAATACTTTTCATCCCATTATTGACAAAGACAAATTTAAAAACATAAAAATCATAAAAATTTATTCAGCTGCTCTTGAATTCTTTCATTATTGTTAGCATTATCATTTTTTATTGATAGAATAACATATGTCAATATGTTTTATTCTATTCCCGAAGAAGATGAATCCAAAAACACATAAATCATAAAAGTTAGTACAGCCTTTCTTGATTTCCTTTATCATTAATATTTTTATTTTTATTGATGATTTTTTTTCAATACTTATTATTCTATTCCCGACAAAGACAAATCCAAAAACACAAGAATCATAAAAATTGGTTTCATTGTTGAAATATCATATATCAATAAATTTTTATTGTGTTCTCGAAAAATAATAATCCAAAAACACAAAAATCACAAAAATTGGTACAGCCGTTCTTGATTTATTTTTTTTTTCACCGTAGTGTGCGCTGGTCAGGCCCTATCCCTCGAAGCTCCGATACATTCGGGAGGGCGCGCCAGCATCATCAACCAATGACCACTCCCCAAACCGTGGGGTAAGTGATCATTGGTTCCGAGAATCATGTGCCCTGAACAAGCATCTGTGCAGCTAAGATTTCTGCCTTAGTGCGGCAAGCCGGAATGATTTTGAAATTCGAGAGTAGAGAAGACATCATTCCACCAAGGACTCCAATAATCAGAACAACCATCCTGACGACTTTACAGGCTGTATCCAGTACCATTCTGCCATGTAGACACTTCAAACTCCATGGCCTCCCTGTTATCGGGGGAAGTATAACCGTGGAACGGACGACTTGGGATGCAAACCCCAATAGAGATGCATCATTTTTCGGGTCTTTACGTCGAGTTGATACAACTCCTCCCGAGTCAACTTCTCTACTCCACACGATTAGCGTAAGATTGGAACGGCAAGCATATTTGTTGCAGCAACTTTGTTTTCCCCGACAGTTCCGATGACCAGATCTGTCGAAGTTTGTGCTGATACTTGCCGTGGAGAGAGTTTTTCACTGCTGTTACCAATTGTGAGTGGCGTTGTTCCACCCCGAGGTAAGTATACCTCCGTCATCCAAATGGTGTAGGATGCTTCCATCTATAGCTGGACATCCTCTCCGTAGTCCCCGCATCGTCCTCTTTTGAGATGGACCATTGCACATTTGTCTATTCCGAATTTCATACCGCTAGCATGCGTGTACTCTTATCATTATTATTATTATTCTTACTGATGAATTATCATATTTCAATACTCATTATCCTATTCCCGATGGAGACGTATCCAAAAACACAAAAATAATAAAAAATGGTCCAGCCGTTCTTGAGTTATTTTATTATTATTATTATTTTCCTTTTTTCATATTTACTCACCTTTCAAACCTTTCATTTTTATATATTAGATTACGAGTATTATCTAAAGTAGTCAAAAAAGTGAGTATCCAATTTGAACTGTGTCTGCAGATTGGAAAAAACTAGGAAAAATAATGAACACTTCTACATAAAAACAAAAATATACATTATATAAACATGAAAATATTAAGAACTATAAATTTACATATGCATATAAATATACATGTAGGTTCCAAATCGGTAATTACCGTGATACAAAATATAAAAAAATACATATAAATGAAAATGTAAAAAGTGTAAATAATGAAGAAATGACATTATTTACAAAAAAATATCCACAAAAACTCAATCATCAAAATATTCTTGTAATGTGTAACAAGTTTTAACAATAACTAATCTTTCAGTGATTTTTTAAAGTTACGAATATTACAGGCCCTCATTAGAATTGATAAGATTCCACTGGGAATCATAAGTCTGTGTTTTTCCTAATGGCATCAACATCGGCAATTCGGAAAATTTTCATGTGAATGTTTGGAAAATGCAAGGAATTTTGATTTTTGAACTTTTGAGAACTTATTTTATTCCGGTCACATTCTGTGAATGGACTGACCATTACTTAGTGAGAATTAATTACACTATCCATTATAAAAATCACACCATTTTCAAAGCATATTTTAATTTCTAGATGCATTTTGCTAACACCGTAGCTTCCTCGGTAGCTTTTACCGAAGCTGCAGTGACAGCGACCATGCATGGTCGTATTCTGTCTGTCAATTGAAAACTGCATCAATCTACAAAACATTCGATTGTCTTATTTGACCACCATTATGTATAAAGGCGCTATGAATATATTACAAAGTAAAACTCGATAGCGATACCTAACTACTAACGCTGATGATGTAAACGAATAAAAATACTATTGAAAGTGGCTTATTTTCCTCACTTTCGTGGTATAATTGGCACCCAGCTAGTCGCAGCTGTTAAATAAAGCAAAAGCGTTGAAAAAGTTAAATATAATAATCAAGAAAGTACAGTATATGGTCTCCATACTACTGACATGCTGCAGATATAAATATTCATGACTTCATTACAGCAAACCAATGATTTTTAAACCAGATATATGCGGGATGTAGGAGCAAGTGGGGCCGAAAGACGCAGTTCACATTTTTGTTTTTAGAAATTGAATACTTGTGTACCTATAACATAAAACGTTTATAAGTGGCTAGATAAAAGAGGTTGGATTTTTCAGAAATATTCTTGGAAATATAAACAAAATCTTCAGATAAATAAGGTATGGAAATAAAAATGATATACTGGTTTCATCAAACGACTACTAAAACTATGCGTGTCTTCGTGGAGGGTTTGAAAACCGTTTTAATGTTGTGTTTCCCCAAGAATTTTCCAATTCTGTCTGATAAATACGCACCTGCAGCAATCTGAGCATCCTGTCCGTTTTGAATCATGGATCCCTCCAGTTTCATGGGCTTGTTTATCTTTGTTACACTGTACCCATTCAATCTCAAAGTCACTTGGAGATACTCTGGTTTTTATATTCTTCGAGTCCGTTCAGGTAGAGTGGAGATGACACCTCTCCTTTGACTAGGATGGTGCAGGTACCTATCCTTGTATGTAGGTTTTCGGTACACTTTATGGGCTAGTCTAGTACCACATCGAATGATCTGGTGCTAGATTATTCTTTCTTCAGAAAAAAATGGTAACCTTCGGAAAAGTGGCTTTGTTTTAAGTTTCCTCCACTGAAATGTTACTTTCCAACATAGAGTACATTCTCCACAAGGTAGAGGATTTAACGATCTCAGATTTTTGCGCCAAATAGTTCAAAATTACACACTCTGTAATAGTTTCGAATTCCTTCATATTCATCCAATTTGAAAACAAATTATAAACGTTTTCGTACCTGAACATTGATATTTCAGGTTATAATTATGCCATAGGAGCAGTCACATTCTCTTTCGCTATTGTTTTTTATAATTCATTTAAAACAAAAATCATGCAAAATTTCGGTAATTAACTGCGTTAATCAAAACTATACTTACTAAGATTTTCACATTTACAATAAAAACCATACCAATTATGCTTTGAACATCATGCTGGAACATCATGCTGGAAAATCAATATCATAATAACTCAGATCTGTATCTCTTCAGGTGTTCGAAAATCAATTGAAAGGGCTATAGAGTTTTCAAAGCTATTCTTTACAATACTATTTTCTTTGTGAGTTCCAGATTTGTTACATCTTTTCCCTTGTAAATACCAGAATTGTTTCATCTTTTAATAATGTATTCACCAGACATGTAAAGACTCAATAATATTTTGTATTTCATACTTCGCTAAAATCGTAAATTGTAATGTAGGCATCAGACATGAGCGTTCAAAAATACTTTGTAGTTCTTCACTCTTTGTTAAATATGTTCTCCTAAATTGGCTTTGCCGTTGAATGAATAAATAAAACAACGATGTGATTTTTTTCGGTCTAGTCCGGGAAGTACGTATTTTCCGGACCAGGCCGAAGAAAAATTGGGTACTTCCTGGAGATTTGCCAACTCATATACCTGATTGCTACATTACTGGTAGTATATATGTGCAGTCTCCCCTAAATTTACTCGATAAGGTATTCATAGAATATTTGCATGCATTATTCACCATATATTCCAAAACGTGGATTGATCACGTGTTTCCCTCTAGAGGTATGCATGTTGTGAATGCCACTCTTGTTAATCGATTATAGCCAATCACCTAATGCTCACTGTAAAGGAGGACAATATTCACTTATTTGCAACTGTTGCTGATCACAGATCAAGTTGTTGTGATCTGTGGCTACTGATTCAAGTTAAAGTCCGACAGATGTTACATATTTCCCTACTTCTAGTTTTCATTGCTGATTATATAAAACACTTACATCACTACGTCATACAGGAATTGTCCCTTATCGAGTAAAAGGAATATTTGCAATCATAAATTTTTCAGTAGGAGTAGTGTAGAAGCTCTTCAAGAGTGATAGTTTCATCTAAATTCAAAATCAGTGACAAGAGAGAAATCTTCAGTGCCTATACAGTGCTTTTATACCCAAACAGGACCAAATATCAGACTGGGAGAAAATATTTGTGGGAAAGAATCATTTTCAGTACTTTTTGCTCTATTTCTAGACCACATAAATGTCCGGTCAAATTAGACTAAAAAATAAGAGTGAAGGTACATAAATTTACAACAAGCTGCAAATGCGTGTAATTGTTCAAAACATAGTTAAAAATAAGATTTCAAAATTCCGAATGATTGCGATGCCTGGAAAAAAATTTATTCGAGGTCAAAGGTCAGAAAAAAATTGGTTTTTCGCGATTTTCAGGAAAACGGTGAGTTTTATCATGAAATAACCTC